TCACAATGCTTGTTCCCATGCCTTGTGATTGGTTTAGTTCTTCAGCTTCTGAGTGGAACTCCTAAACCCTATAGTTTTCACTAGATCGAAAGTGAAGGAGTCGTAATTGGAGTAATTATACCCTAGCTGTTCTACCTAGATCAACGCTCTACGATTTTGATTACAGTTTCGACTCAATCTGTATCCATCACTATTAAACCAGCCAACGTCGGTTCCATGCTACCTACAAAATCGCCTCCCTTGTCTTTAAGGGATGAAAGGGAATACTGAATGGTTCCTTAATCGGTTGTTTTTTCTTGGAACTGTCTTGTAAATTTTCCAATGCGATATTCTCGTCCAAAAAAGGCATGATTCCGTTTTTCGAACTCTTCAGTTTCGATTCCTCTTTTTTGTCCATGATTCCTTTTGCAGCCCCAAGCATCTCCATCACCCAAGCAGAAAAAAAAACTGAACGCCATACCCGTTCAATCAATACCCGTGCAATCTTAGCAGTGGAATGATTGAAAGACATTTCAAAGAGATGTCCAATTCAAAACTGGGATGGGATAAAGCTTCGAAACGCAAACAAAGCCGTTCTCCTGGTATAAATCCGTTCGTTTACTTTGTACCATTATCCCAAAAAAGGATCGTCTGTCGTCGTTGATTATACGGCTGTTAGGAAATGATAAACTGAAAAACCTTTCTTGTAGTCATACATAAAAGAGAAGTAATATATATGGTCTATAACAGGGGTTCCTACGCCCCGTCCACAGGTATCCGGACAGTTTCCTTTGGCTTGTTTCCCTATACTCTCACTGCTTATCCTTGAAAGGATCTACGGCCTTCAACTTTGTTTTTTTTTTTCGTTTTAGTTTTTTGATCATTTTTTTTTCTTTGGCTTGTTTCCCTTAACTCTCACTGCTGATGATTTAAGGCTTCGCGAGGATTTTGCGATAACGAATCTCTAACAATATTTGTTACTAAAGTTTGCTCTTGTTTTGTTGTTGTTGTGAAACAAACCAAGGGCGTAGCCAGGATTTTCTTATCGGCTCTTGCAAGAGGAAAGAATCATCTCCATCAACGCCATTTCTCCTGCTCACATTTCCCCTGGTCACATTTGTAACGTTTCAGCTAACGGACGGACCATCAGAAATAACCGGAGGGGGGGGGGGGATTTTCGGTACATGAAATTTTTTTTAAGCCCACTTGTCAGTAGTAATAGTGGTCTATAGACGGACAAAATCGGACAACATTCGTTGCTAAGGACGTGAAAAACCCAACAACCTCGAAAACGTTTTAACCCTAACCAAGTAACTTAAGTGCTTAACCAAGTAACATGAGAAGACACACAGGGCTTGCACTGTAAGTATCCCGGAGAGCTCCATACAATTCCTTATAATTTTTTTTTTATAAGGAATTGTATGGAGCTTTCGAGGAGACTTTTCTTCATTAGCTTAGGCGCGGCGGATCTCTTCACGTATGATCAGCGCGAGGTGTTTTTCCCGACACCCTTCTGTCAGGAAAATGTCATCGTATGAAAGCAAACCAGACACGATCGCGTTGGCATTTCAGAGGTCAGTTTTGTTCCGATCTGGTCAAGGTAAATCAGGTTCTTAGGTTGTAGGTAATAAAATATTGTCTTATTCAGTTTTCAAGGAGCTTCAGAAAACGAGATAAACGAGATAATTGACTCGACAATGAAGATGGAGGTGAAAACGCGTTTTTTGGAAGAAAATATTTTTTAATTTCCGCAGCGATTTTGTGAAATCGCGAGGCAAAATAGTTCAGTTTCTTCCAAAGCCGTCATGATCAAGCAGTAATGCCATCACAACTAAAAATGAGTTTAGTTTGTATCACAAAAGCCGCGAAAATAAAGACGAAAAAAAAATGGATCGGAAAAATTAATAAAATCACCAAAAAACCGTCTCTTGGGAACTTTGTCAAACAAACCGTTGGTACGGGTCTATTTAACCCAACCTGGAAAAGGAGGCGCAGAATACATTTTCATCCTACATGTAGTTGTGATTTCGGGAACGGACCTCGAGAGCTCATTGTCGTAATATCTACATTACAGAAACTACAGCAGAATCGCCCTGCTCACGTGCTAACTTTCCGCTCCAATTATGACTATACAGTACCAGTAAATTGTTTCAAAATTTAAAGCGGCCGAAACTTATTTCCATCAGCGCGTAGTTAGTTAATTAAACAATAATAATGCACAACACTGTAAATAACACGGTTCTAGAATATCTGACGGCTTCGCATTTTGTTCGTCGCTGCATGCGATTTAATCGCTTATAACCGAACAGAAAATGCATGAATACAAGCTCGCTGTTCAACCCCGCAATGAATTTTAAGAAAGAAGCCTTTTTTATAACAGAAGAGTGTGGTGGAACAGCTTGTCTCTGAAGCTTGTCTCTGCGGCAACATTGTTTTTAAAGAAAAATTAAAAAAACCTTAATTTAGATATATGTACCTTTACACAAGGCCTCAATGCAAAGCAAGTTTTTTATTGTTATATCGTTATTTTAGCTTTAATCTTAGATTCACTTCTAGCTTAGTTATTAGTAGTTATTTTCTTATACTTGAATGTAAATGTACCTGAAAGAAATACCGTGTATTAATATACCTTACTTCTGTGATGTGTGTAAATTTGTCTTTTGCTGTTGTTTTAGACAATACGACTTCTCCTGACTATCAGTTGTGCGTCAAAACAATGTATCAAGCGCGCGATAAAGAAGTAGTCGAAGTGCCATGGTGTGGCACTTTCTGACAAAGTTTTAACTGGAAAACGTGTTGTCATCGTGTTGATGTACACCTCTATAGTCTAGTTTGTAAGCTCTGCCTAAAGAATCACTGGGTTACACTGCGCCCATGGGTGTGCCACCTAAAGTGCAGCCTATGTTTGTTAGCTCTACCTAAAGAATCACTGGGTTACATTGCACCCATGGGTGTGCCACCTAAAGTGCAGCCTATGTTTGTTAGCTCTACCTAAAGAATCACTGGGTTACACTGCACCCATGAGTGTGCCACCTAAAGTGCAGCCTATGTTTGTTAGCTCTACCTAAAGAATCACTGGGTTACACTGCACCCATGGGTGTGCCACCTAAAGTGCAGCCTATGTTTGTTAGCTCTACCTAAAGAATCACTGGGTTACACTGCACCCATGGGTGTGCCACCTAAAGTGCAGCCTATGTTTGTTAGCTCTACCTAAAGAATCACTGGGTTACATTGCACCCATGGGTGTGCCACCTAAAGTGCAGCCTATGTTTGTTAGCTCTACCTAAAGAATCACTGGGTTACATTGCACCCATGGGTGTGCCACCTAAAGTGCAGCCTATGTTTGTTAGCTCTACCTAAAGAATCACTGGGTTAAACTGCACCCATGGGTGTGCCACCTAAAGTGCAGCCTATGTTTGTTAGCTCTACCTAAAGAATCACTGGCTTACACTGTACTCACGGACGTTTGCCTCGCGCTCTCTTCAAAGATAGAAAAGCTATAGTCTATTTCGCCAAAAATCAAGCTTTGTTTTCCAAAAAAATTTGACACCATATTCGGCCCCGAAAGACGTTAAAATTTCCTCCATAACAGAAGAGTTTTTTGCTAGAGTTAAGAAGTTTGGCTTACATGAGTTTCAATATAAAGGTGCAAAAACCTATCAGCATAATTATAGCACACACATACATTGTCATCAAACTCCTGGCATGTAGCCTGAATAAGCCAAGCAAATAAAGCATATAACGAGAAATGTTCGTCAAATGGTTTTGTCAAGTAAATTATACTTCACTTTGCGAAAGAAATTTATCGCTTGCATGTATCCGTGTTACGCATAGAAAAAGCGAGGGGTCATCGCATGACATTAGGTAACAGAGGTAATACTCACGGGTTTCACGAATTCCAAATCCACGATTTTTCGCCGAGTAACAAATTTAAAACTTCAATTCTTACCTTACAGTTGTCGGTTCATTTACCTTACATTCGCCAACACTAGTAAACATGAACAAAACGATGAAATCCGGCACTCTTCTTTCAGAAGTAGAAAGCCGCATGAAGTAAAATCCACCGATATGCGCTGCATTCTCGCTACAGATATAAACATTTGTCGTGGAGAAAATACGACGAGGAGGAAAAAATGCCAGATCTTCGCCTCGGCAATGTATTCCAGCTACCAAGCCGGCGTATCTCCAGAAGGTGGACTCGAAGTGGGACAAACCATGTGATTTTTTTAGAAGCCCTTTGCGCGCAAACTAATTTATTCTGGCGCGAAATGAAGATTAACAAAATGTATCTGAAATCTAATACACGACAAGAAAATTTTCGCACTTTCGAGGAGCGCGACATATTAAATGGGATTAAGTCGGATTAGCTGCCCGCGGAGAAAACATCCCAGCGAGGGATTGTACTTCCAGTAAAAAGCCTCTGTGTCCTCTCATGGGTTAAATGATCACTGTCATGAAGGGACAAACTTGAGCACGTCGGATGACGTGTTTCAATTTTTAGACTATGACGTCATCCTTTTCATAACATTAGAATATAAAAGGCGGATAACCGAAGACACAAATCATTTGATCGAATTACCTTGTACTGATCAGAGCTCTCACTATGCCAATTACTTAACCAAGACCATATCCCACTTGTAGAACAAAAATCGATAATAGAGGAAATTTCTCTCGTCACAAGAAATATTGTGGGAGGAAAATAGACCCTGTTCCATGTCCATACTGTGAGTCCACATTTAAAAGGAAAGACGATATGTCAAAGCATGACCGAAAATTCCATTCAGAAACAGCGAAACGAAAAGCTAATGACACAGCTGAATTACATGCTGACAAGGTACCCCGCATGAGTGATGAACATCAGACTGGTGGTGCAGTGACGACTCGTGGTATGAAACGTGAGGTTGAGGAAGAAGAAGAAGAATCCAAGGAAGAGGTGGAAATGGCCAAACCAGATGTTAGTGAAACAACAAAAGATACCAATGACGAGTACGGAGGCGGACCAAATCCACTCTTTGTAGGTGATGTTAGGAATTGGAGCCAGCGAAACGATGGAAGCAAAATGCCGTAGTCAACCAGAAATTTATTCTGACGTTAGACCAACAACGTGGACCCAAGGAAGGGGAAGATTTGAATATTGGAGCAACACATGCATTGGCTGTTGCGACGGAAATCTCATTAAGGATCTGAAAATACCTGAGGATTATTGGATGACACTCCAGATTGGAAGCCGTGAACACCGTAAAGAAGGTTTGGCAGTACAGGAGAAACGTGGAAAGTTCCAGCGGGAGATTTTACACAAAGGGCTCTTTATACTCAATCCGTTTTAGTCAAACTTTCCAATGTGTTAAACAGCAGACAGTTTATTATCAACGATATTGGATTTTCTGCATCGATTCTATTCAGCCGACCGGAGAGGAAAGGAGGTAAAAGACCAGGTGGAGGTCCGGGTCAAAAAATATGGGAACACATGGCGAAACATTCACGATGCGTGTGCGAAATCAAAAATAGGGATGAATTGTGTTGCGCTCGAGCCAAGAGTACACGAAGCGCCAGGCGGGCGAACACAACACCTTTGAAAATATCAAGAAAGATCGGGGGAAGAATTCGCAGCAGTTGAAAGAGGCGAAGAGGTTACACGAAGAAGCAGGTGTCGGTGAGGGTCCATGTGGATTGGAAGAGATTCAGAAATTCCAAGACTACCTTGGCCCTCAAGGGTTCCGAATCATTGTAGTAGATGCTGTACGCGGTGGAGTGATTTTTAAAGGCGAAGCATTTTTAGAAGCAGACAAGACAATTGCTGTGGTGAAATCTTTGTACGTGGATGAAGAGAACGTGGAAAAAGCACACTATGATGGCTTATACAGTATCCCAGCTTTCATGAACCGAAGTTATTTCTGGCATCGTTGTTGTAAAGGCTACAGCACTGAGGACAGCGCCCATCATAATTGTCCAGCTAAAAACTACCCTGCATGCAAAATAGGTTCTTTGAAGAGTGAACAAGGATGTCCCGATTTTTAATTATGGTCGAAACCAGACCGCAGTTGTAAAGTGTGTAGACGTGAGTTTTATGGGGAGCAGTGTTTTATGGCCCACTTGATTGAGGAAGAGGTAGTGGGCAAAGATTTGGAGAAAATGAAACAGAAATTGGAGCAAGACCTAGAGGAGGAACTACCCTCCATTGTGGAAATGAAGAACGTATGTGATCAGTACCGTAAATGTAAAGATTGCCTGGTGTCCTACAAAGTAAAAGAAGATGTCACCCATAAATGCTTGCATGCCAAATGTAAACATTGCCTGGAATTTGTTCATATCTATGACCATCAATGTTTTATCACGTCCGAGGAAGAGAAACAATTTAAAAGGACGCTTCAGGAGTTACGAAGGCAGAAAAAGAAAAAAAGGAACAGTCATTGGGGATGATGGATGAAGGTCTACCAGACGATCACACACAAAAGGCGATCGATGATCTGATTACTAAACGTCAAAATAACTTAAAGAATTGGATCAGATCAACAGTGGTGTGCCCATGACTGAAATAAAGGCACAGCGGTACGTAGAAAGACTGAAATATTTACGTGAAAAAGTGATGTTAAAAATGATGGAGGAAGAAGGTTTTGAGCTTCACGATATCACTTTAGAGTTGGTGGAAGACCGTATGGCCAAACAACAAGACAAACCACAGCAAACAAGTGAATCAAGGAAGATTTTTGCTGGGGGACTTGTGTGTGCAGATATTGAGTGTATCCTCGACAGCACTAATACATTCATCCCAATTCTGATCTGTTATTCACGTGGGTATAGCAAGACGACTTTTCATCATTGGGGAACCTATTGTGTGGATCTCTTTATTCAAACATGGTGGCAATGGGTAAAAGAGGAGAAAGAAAGAGAGGGTGGTGTTCAGGAATTTCATATTTTCTTCCATAACCTAAACGGATTCTATCTTCTGGGGCAAATTTGATGAAAACGAACACAGGGATCAAACCATAGCCATTCAGGATGAAATCGTGTGGCAAAAACTGATTCCGGATGAGTCACTGGTGATCAAAGATGTGCGTATCTTTAACGAGGATGTAATGGAAGTCAGCGTGATGAAGAAAGAAAAAGATGCATGTGGAGGAGCTGGGAAAACAAACATTTTAATTTCGTGTTTCACGACGGCTCTGGCACATCTAAAGCTGTATGCAGAATTGAAAAAGCTGGGAGAGCAAGTGCTGTATTGTGACACGGACACAGTCATTCTACCGCTGGAAACAAGGAGAGCCGTTTATACCTACAGGAATCTTTTTGGGTGAGATGACAGATGAACTCGGTGTGGATCCAACTATGGAGTTTGGATCAACTGGTCCAAAATCGTATTGCTATCAAACAATGAGTGGCAAGTCAGGATGCAAAAACAAAGGAACCAAGATCTCTTTTGAAATAAATCAAGTATTGAACTGTGATTCAATGATGCAGCACATCCAACAAAACTTGCAAATCCTTTGCAATGTAGACGATTAATAAACATTGACATTAAAGATCATTTTGTAAGAGATAGCACGCATAAAACAGCCAGCTTAAAAGATTTAGTCAAAGTCTTCGGTGTCAATTGGGACAAACGTGTCGTTGAAAAAGGAACAGGNGCGGGCGAACACAACACCTTTGAAAATATCAAGAAAGATCGGGGGAAGAATTCGCAGCAGTTGAAAGAGGCGAAGAGGTTACACGAAGAAGCAGGTGTCGGTGAGGGTCCATGTGGATTGGAAGAGATTCAGAAATTCCAAGACTACCTTGGCCCTCAAGGGTTCCGAATCATTGTAGTAGATGCTGTACGCGGTGGAGTGATTTTTAAAGGCGAAGCATTTTTAGAAGCAGACAAGACAATTGCTGTGGTGAAATCTTTGTACGTGGATGAAGAGAACGTGGAAAAAGCACACTATGATGGCTTATACAGTATCCCAGCTTTCATGAACCGAAGTTATTTCTGGCATCGTTGTTGTAAAGGCTACAGCACTGAGGACAGCGCCCATCATAATTGTCCAGCTAAAAACTACCCTGCATGCAAAATAGGTTCTTTGAAGAGTGAACAAGGATGTCCCGATTTTTAATTATGGTCGAAACCAGACCGCAGTTGTAAAGTGTGTAGACGTGAGTTTTATGGGGAGCAGTGTTTTATGGCCCACTTGATTGAGGAAGAGGTAGTGGGCAAAGATTTGGAGAAAATGAAACAGAAATTGGAGCAAGACCTAGAGGAGGAACTACCCTCCATTGTGGAAATGAAGAACGTATGTGATCAGTACCGTAAATGTAAAGATTGCCTGGTGTCCTACAAAGTAAAAGAAGATGTCACCCATAAATGCTTGCATGCCAAATGTAAACATTGCCTGGAATTTGTTCATATCTATGACCATCAATGTTTTATCACGTCCGAGGAAGAGAAACAATTTAAAAGGACGCTTCAGGAGTTACGAAGGCAGAAAAAGAAAAAAAGGAACAGTCATTGGGGATGATGGATGAAGGTCTACCAGACGATCACACACAAAAGGCGATCGATGATCTGATTACTAAACGTCAAAATAACTTAAAGAATTGGATCAGATCAACAGTGGTGTGCCCATGACTGAAATAAAGGCACAGCGGTACGTAGAAAGACTGAAATATTTACGTGAAAAAGTGATGTTAAAAATGATGGAGGAAGAAGGTTTTGAGCTTCACGATATCACTTTAGAGTTGGTGGAAGACCGTATGGCCAAACAACAAGACAAACCACAGCAAACAAGTGAATCAAGGAAGATTTTTGCTGGGGGACTTGTGTGTGCAGATATTGAGTGTATCCTCGACAGCACTAATACATTCATCCCAATTCTGATCTGTTATTCACGTGGGTATAGCAAGACGACTTTTCATCATTGGGGAACCTATTGTGTGGATCTCTTTATTCAAACATGGTGGCAATGGGTAAAAGAGGAGAAAGAAAGAGAGGGTGGTGTTCAGGAATTTCATATTTTCTTCCATAACCTAAACGGATTCTATCTTCTGGGGCAAATTTGATGAAAACGAACACAGGGATCAAACCATAGCCATTCAGGATGAAATCGTGTGGCAAAAACTGATTCCGGATGAGTCACTGGTGATCAAAGATGTGCGTATCTTTAACGAGGATGTAATGGAAGTCAGCGTGATGAAGAAAGAAAAAGATGCATGTGGAGGAGCTGGGAAAACAAACATTTTAATTTCGTGTTTCACGACGGCTCTGGCACATCTAAAGCTGTATGCAGAATTGAAAAAGCTGGGAGAGCAAGTGCTGTATTGTGACACGGACACAGTCATTCTACCGCTGGAAACAAGGAGAGCCGTTTATACCTACAGGAATCTTTTTGGGTGAGATGACAGATGAACTCGGTGTGGATCCAACTATGGAGTTTGGATCAACTGGTCCAAAATCGTATTGCTATCAAACAATGAGTGGCAAGTCAGGATGCAAAAACAAAGGAACCAAGATCTCTTTTGAAATAAATCAAGTATTGAACTGTGATTCAATGATGCAGCACATCCAACAAAACTTGCAAATCCTTTGCAATGTAGACGATTAATAAACATTGACATTAAAGATCATTTTGTAAGAGATAGCACGCATAAAACAGCCAGCTTAAAAGATTTAGTCAAAGTCTTCGGTGTCAATTGGGACAAACGTGTCGTTGAAAAAGGAACAGGAGCAACATACCCCTATGGGTATATTTGTATGGCAAACTAGATGAATTGTAAACTTAAGAGTGGTTGTCAGAGAAAACCGGGCAAAATGTTAAAAATGTCAACGGAAGGGGGTCAACAGAATAAGTTCATACTAACATCACAGATAGGTCTGGTGGAGTATTGGACAAATATACCAAACATAGGTTCTTCACTGCTCTTGTATTAGAGATACGAGCATCACTTTATTCGACCCCCTCGGACGCCATTTTTATAAGCAAATGTTCACCATTTTCTGAAACTCACAGAACCCTCAAAAGTTAACGAGCGAAGTTTAATTTTTTATGCGATACAATACATCACAGAACTACTTTGTAAACCCATGAGATTTGTTAAGCAGCCACGGACAAGTCTAAAATTTTCTTATTTTATCTGACCTAAACTCAGTGTCTGCAAACGAGCAAAAAATCGGGCATTTTTGAATTGATCTACAGCGCACAACTAAAACGACAGAACAACTCTGACAGCCAAATTACAGTCTACTATCATCCATGTAACCAAAACACTAATAATCATTTTGGGCCATTGAAACAGGAAGAAATTAGAAAACTCACATTTGTTATAGTTTCCAAGCTTTTTCTTGCAAACAGGCCGATCCCTTCGTGTTTGTTTTAAGTCCTCTTCGTGAATTTTCTTCCATATCTCGCTGTAAAGTATGTTCAGCAGCTGGACGAAATATCAAAAAGTTCGAAATACTGCCTAGGTTACATGTTCAAAGGGTAAAAAGTGCTGAACGATAGGATGAAACTAGAAAATAACAAAGCGACGCCATCTTGAAAATTCAGCACTCAGGACGGACTGGCACTAGTAGCTGCGCTCGATATCTAACATACGGACAAAAATTGCAAATTTTCCACGAGCACATAGAAAACCAAACCTAATATAGAAATGTAACCAGAAAGCCTCGGATTCACGTTAGAATTTTTCTTTATCGAACGTGGGCTATTACGAACTATTAGCAGGAGCAGGCTCCTGCAGGAGCCTATGGCCTCCTGATTACCAATAAGATAAAAAACAAAAAAACAAACAAACCAGCT